CAACTTCGTGAGGGGTTTTAAGTGGACTTATAAATGGAGGGAGGGGGGGGATTATAACCAGACTAAAAAAGCGTTACAAAACAAGCTACATAGAACTACTGATCAAAATACTTTTTTACTTGCTTTTCTAGGCCTCAAAACGTCGTAAAAAATCGATTTTATTTCAATACATGCTGGAGGAGATGCTTATATCAGGGGGCTTATAGCTGGCTATATTGTTGTAAGTGGGTCTGATATTATTCTGTTTCAATTCCTCAAGACCTTCGATACCGTTTCTTATCAACACTTAAAAACGTTTGGTCACTGCGGCAATCCATTCATGATTGGAGTCTGCACTAAATGGACATCATAATTCCCAGCATTTGATGTCCAAGTGAAGCCTCCAATCATGAATGGATTGCCGCAGGGAGCAAACATTTTAAGTAGAGGACGAGCGATAAGCTCATCCCACGTAGTAATATCAGGTGTCCCACAACGAACCAACCTCAGTGTACCGTAATTGCAGCACTTAGCACATTAGTCACCTCTGTGGTAAATTACCTCCAATTACAACAAGTGCATGCAAAATTTTCGATCTAGAGAAGCTTCTATTTTGTTCAGTAATTTCTTCGCTAACGTTAAGTTCCATAGTGCGCAAGGAAAGAAGAGTAATCGGCAATATTAACTAAATGAGCTGGAAAGCTGTCTCGCGACCCCCGTTTTGAAAAAAAGAACTTTATTTGAATGTCAACGTATTTAGCACTCAAGAACTAAATAAGGACACCATTTACGTCCGCTGCTGGAGAGGGACCGCTATTTTATGTATAGCTTAGTCATCCGAGCCACGCGAAGGTCTAGCCGTTTCCAGTATGACAAAAGTAGTATCTCTATTTTTAAGACCTGGAGAATTAGTCCGGCCCCGGGAATAGGACCTGCGATCTCCCGCGCTGCTGTGAATTAAGCGCTCGGCCGACTGAGCTAATCTTGCTGCAGTGTGGTTATTGCTGTTTCTGTCGAAACTTACCATAACATATTTCTTTATTTGCTTTAACAAAGGAAGCCACATTACAACTTGTTTGATTGCAATACTCAATGAATGTCTGATCACTTGCAACTATCACAAGTCCCGAAAGCTGAAGGAATGATACCAAAACTGCTGTTCTTGAACAATGAATCTTTCCTTGCGCGCATGAGCACTTGATGCAGGAACCAACAGACCACGTGGTCCCTTCAAAATATTGATTAGAGTCCTCATCTTGACACGTGACAACTGATAATAAAAGAGCACAAATAAAATAAATGTAACGGAGAAGGAAGAAGTGGAAAACTTTATCACTATCCACTGACTCCTAAAGTACACAAACATTTATCTTTATGGGTTCATCTGCTACTTTTTCATCCTTTATGATGCTTATCCGTTTTTGTCTTATGGATACCGTTTAGCAAGAAAATTTTGCGGGTTAAACTTTTTCCCATTTTACTAACAGATCGCTCTCCGCCAATATGGAGTAAACTGTGTCTTATCAAATGAAGGTTTGTTGTGAAAACAGTCTGACAGGACCGCACAGAACCAGACGGGGCCTAATGCGCAGGCGCGTGTAGTTTACCGCTGACTATAATGTAACAACAAAGGAGTGGCGTTCAATCCGCGTTAATACTCCCTTCCGTCCAATAAACAATAATAACTTTGCTTTTTTATGTAAACATTGCGTTACTGGATTATGTATAATCAACAACTATTGAGCTTTTCCTAGAAAACATCCACCCGAGCTTCTAAAAGAAGATCTACCGTGTAGCCTATCAGGAACGCAAAAGAGAGCCGCATTAAGAAAATCTGCGTTGGTGCTACATACGTGTAGTTCCTCCTTCAAGCTGAGTGGGAATGGCCCTTTATGGCTCCAGTATACCGTAGAACGTTTTTCAAATTATCATAGTACATTTGTTAAAATCAGTAATAGCACCCTGAGTGATATCATACCGTAAAAAGGGGCCGACCATTTAACTCTTGAGGGGGGTGGGGTGGGCGATTTCTGGTCATCAAGAATTTTTTTTCTAGCAATCTGGTGGGCAGGATATTTTTTCCCTTTTTCTCCCATAAGCTTTCTATTACATTTGTGCTGCATGCAATTTTTTTCAAAATTACCCCCCCCCCCCCCCCCCCTCAAGAGTTAAATTGTTGGCCCCTAAGAGAATAGAGTTTTATTGAGCATGACAGGATACATGGGTGAAGCTTTTTTGCTGCGTCGTCAGTCCTCTGTAAGAGCTTTGATGTATCATCTTCAAAATTGTAAAAGACCTCAGTGAAATATCTCTAGGTCGAGCGAACCGTAGCTCAAAGCGTGATCACAGGCGCTTCTCAATATTTTATTGCGTGGACTAAAAAATCGGCAAAAATTAGTCCCAAAAATTTTCGGTTAGTAAACTGTAGACACCCTCAAAATTGCTACTGCGAAAGTAGACCAGGTTTAATCTAAAAACCTCGTTGGAGGTTAATAAGATAACAGATTGAACACTCACCTGACAAACAATTACCGATATTAAGATTTTGTGAGCAATTGGAAGATTTTCTGCATCGAGAGCTATCTGAATCCAGCTGACGGCCACTAGGACAGTAAGTCAGGTTTCCTCTCATTTGAGTTCCTATCTGCTGCAACACTTGAGAAAGAGATGGATAGTGGAGGAAATGATCAGTTTGATAACTCAGTGATATTAGCCACTCTTAAAGACGGGTTGAGTATTAGACCTTTTTTGCCTAGACGTGTTTGTTTCCCATTTTTTGGCCATTTGACGTCACCATCAAAAAACTGTTTTCAAATTTCAGATGTCCTTAGTATGCCATAAAAGAGCATATGGAAAGGAAAAATTTCAGCATCACCTCTGAAAGAATTTTTTTGAAAGATGATCGACCAAACCACAGCTATTCAAAACTTGAAAACAAAACTCCAGTTCAGTGCACGTTACTTTGAAAAGTGTATGCCCTGTAACCTCACAAACGTGTATGTTTCCATTGTTTTGGAGGCCAGTTTTCCAGCCCCTACCTGATGGATAATAGACTACATCTGACACCGGTATGACAGCAATCAATTATTTCGTGTTGGTTAATTAGAAAGTGGACATAATTGGAGTCAATCAATTAATTCCAATCAGCCAAACCTCCTATCATTTTTCCGAAATTTGCCTGCCATATTTACTGTAAATTTGACCCTAATAAACGGTTACTTCTACTAAGCATACGAGGTCACTGCTTGGATGTTTTCCAAATGGTATGTATTAGAGTTTCCTTAATGAAATTGAAAGTGGTCAGTTGGACCTGTTGAATTACTCAAACCCCACAAATTGGAGGAAGTCTAGCCGCAGCGGTTTGATCAAGAAGAAACGCAAAAAAAAATACCTGAGCATTCTGAAGCACAACAGATAGCTCCATTGTATACATAACAGACAGGCCTGGTCATCGAGGGGCAGTATTCTGAATTACGTACTCCAGGGAAGTAAAAGGTGCATCCTTCGAACTTCCAAGTTTGTCCCTCAAAGATAATTCCCCTGTTCTGTATCAACTCGACCGCTTGGAAAAACGAATACGTTAAGCAGCTTCAATACTTTAAGTTGGTTTGAATATTTTTTTTCTGTATTATTTTAAGGTATTTTTGGTAAGAAATTATTTAAGTCGCAGAATTAATTGTATATGATAAATTTATCACTACTTTTAATATTGTATGCGTAGTCATTTTAAGAGAGAGTTTGTTAGTATTACTTTTTAAATGATTGTTGCATATTCAAAAACAGAATTCCGCATAATGTTTAATCTAGACGGTTTTACATGGAAATGTCCAGCAGAAGCTGATCTTGTGTTATATGAATGTATTTGTCTGGAACGAGTGAATACGTCACAATGCCTACCTAGAAGAGCACAATATAATCTGTAAATATCAATCAGGCTTTCGCGCTATTCACTCAACTGTCACGGCTCTCCTTGAGGCCACGGACACTTGGGCGTACAATATTGACCGCGGTAAAATCAACGCCGTTGTTTTCTTAGATCTCAAAAAGGCCTTCGACACAGTTGACCATGAGATCCTTTTATCAAAATTAAGCAATTACGGCATATATGGTAACGCGCACCAATGGTTTAAGTCGTATTTAGAGAATCGTACTCAAATGTGCTCCATCAACGGATCGCTCTCTCAAAGCTGTTTATTAAGTTGTGGTGTTCCCCAGGGGACGATTTTAGGTGCATTATTATTTCTGTTATACATCAACGATCTTCCAAACTGTCTTTCAAATTGTGAGCCGAGGATGTACGCTGATGACACCCACCTTACGTACGCAGGTGATAATGCAGACAATATTCAGTTGCATCTAAATCAAGATTTAGAAAATGTTCACAATTGGCTGAGAGCAAACAAACTTACTCTAAATATGACTAAAACCGAATTTATGCTTATCGGATCTAGGCAGAGGCTAAGTACTCTCACAGAGTCCCCGACATTCGCAATTAATGATTTTGAAGTTAGCCAGGTCACTACTGCAAAATCACTTGGAGTGACCATCGATGACAGACTTGATTGGAGTGGCCATATCGAGAAAGTAACAAAGAAAGTCGCTTCTGGTATTGGGGCCATAAAACGAATAAGGCACCTTGTCCCTCAGGCGACCTTACAACTAATATATCAAGCTTTAATACAGCCACACTTTGATTATTGCAACATTGTTTGGGGAAACTGTGGGATAACCTTACGGAATAAGGTTCAAAAGCTACAAAACAGAGCAGCCCGTGTTTTGACCTACTCAAGCTATGACGTAGATGCTGGTCACCTTTTCAAACTTCTAGGGTGGAAAAACCTAGCTTGCCAGCAACAATTTCAAAGAGCTACGATGGTTTACAGGTCTCTGCACGGGTTGGCTCCAAACTATCTTAGTTCTAAATTTGAAAGGCGAGAAGTCGCATATAACCTAAGGGACTCTGAAAATAAACTCAATGTTCCATTACCGCGCACAAACTATTACAAAAACAGCTTCAGCTATAGTGGCGCCATTCTCTGGAACAGTCTTCCCTTTAACTTAAGGGAAGCTGAGTCCCTTGGGCAATTTAAACGACTAGTCAAAGAACTGTAAGGCACGGCATTCGTGGAAAGCAGCTTTTTTATTTAAATATTTTTATTATATTAGTATTAGGCATTTTTAAAGCTGACGAATTTTGTATCTATCTATCTAGGTTTTCCGGTGTGAAATCGTTCAATAAAATCTTGTGTAATTTAGAAGCCTGACCCCAGGTTATGAGGCCATAAGACAAATACGGGAAGATTAAAGATCTATAAAGGTTGAGAAGAGTACTCTGGGGGACAAAATATCTCAGTCTCCCAGTAACGCCAAAGGTTTTTACTGTTGCAACATTGTCAATGTGAGGTTTCCATGTGAAATGACTGCACGAATTTGCGAACTATCGCGGGGGGCAAGAAGCCGGAGAAGTGGCGATTTGATGTGCGAATCATAGACGCCAGCTTTGGTCCAACAGTAGAAAAAAAGTCATTAAAAACATTCGGCAATTGTGCAGGGTCTCTTGTTATTTGACCATTTGACCATAGAGGGCTTAAGCAACAATTCGGAAACAATGGCGGCAACGGCAGCGAAAACGTCACACAAAAAGTGAATTTGAGCTGTTTCAAACTTTTTTGCTCTTATTCCATCTCTTTTAATCTGTCAAATGTTGTTGATTTTTTTTCAAGAGTTGAATTCTGAAGGACTGTATCTAAGTTCACAAAAAGAAAAGGGAAGTCGTTGTCTTGTAATTACGTCCTCAGTAAAACGTGAAATTAGGAAATTTCACACCGTAGACGGCAGTGACGATCACGAAATGTACGGCACAAAAGCGTGATGCACGTGCAAATTAGTTTTTTGGCAATCTAAACCAATTATTTTTTTGCCGTTCTCGTTGTCGTCGCTGTCGACTTTGCTTAAGCTCTCTAATAACTCCATGCAACCGAACACATATTTTAAATGTTAAATCAGAATCACATAATCATATAATGGAACAGGATTCGTTTGTAGAGACTATTAAGCCAACCCTAAACTCTTTCTAAAGAGTGGTTAGCCAAGAGCTATGGTCTATGAGAGTAAAAGACCATGAAAACAGCGTAATTACACCACGATTTTTTTCTCTTTTTCTCGCGCAATTTTCCAAGGAATTTCCCGGAAATGGCTACGTTATTGTAAAAGACAATAGACGACAATTTTCCATGGTCTATACAATTCTAGAACTTGGGAGTGATGGCAAACTGCTGAAAACTTTGAAGTGAGACCACTTGCCTGGGGCTTGTGGTTTCACTTGAGGTTTGAACGTTTTGTCGTCAGTTCCACGGGTCTAGTGTAGTCAGTGTAGACCATGGAGATTTGTTACCTGAATTTCTTACCATGACACCAATCTTTGTTTTCTTGAACAAACTTCAGGACGCTGCATGATGGTTGAGTACAATTCTGTTCAAGGCTATACATACCCCGGAAATATCCTGGAAAGTTAATGGTTAGGTCTCTTTTACATGTTGTTAAGCCATCTTTGCATTGGCAACTGAGACAAGGAGAAACGTTCCATCCCTTTAAGCTTTCGTTTATCAGCAAAGTACCACCTTCTTCGTCCTTGCAAATCTCTAGAATTTGATAACAAAATAATTCTAGAAAATTAGTATGTGCGCATAGAGGTTCTCTGTATGGCGAGGTAAGTGTTAGACAACCGACATTAGAAACCCCCCCCCCCCCCCCCCAATTAAATAACCGTGAGTCCATAAATTGTAGTTTAACCCATTCGCTCCTGGAGATTTTGCCGAAAAACACGTTTTGAAGCTAGTCGAGTGGTTTTCTGGTCACTGTCGTGCTGTAAAGGGCTAAAACTTACCACAAACCGGTTTACAGGTCGTACACTTGGCGGCCTTCTGATCCAGATGCAAAACATCAGCTTGCGAAGTTCGGGCATGCGCAGAAAGCAAAATTTCGAGACTTACTTTTCGCTTTCTCTCCTCCCTTCTTTTTTCGCTTTTCTTGCCTTATATTTTTTTTTCTCTTGCTGGGCATTTAGTAGGCTTCATTTTGGTGGGAAGAGTTTTTAGGAAAGCTTTTATGATCTTAGGATTAGGTGAAAGGAAAGGTAGGTGGGCAATGGAACAAGATTATCATGGAGATTTTCAGGTCAATGTCACGTGGTTTTTTGCTTCTTTCTCCGGTGTCCTTGACTGAATTGTGCTCATTCTGGTATGATTTGAAAGATCTCTTCACTCTACACAAGATAGCCAAGAAAGTTGTCCTTGATCGTTAAAACTGATGACGTCACAAAGGGTAGAAAGGACCTAGATCCGCACGAGCGGTTACGGGCGGTTCAGGGGCGAATGGGTTAAGAAGATCAGATATGTTATCAGTCGGTTTTTATACCTGTTCTGAGGAAAACGTGCAAAATATTTTCACTACTGGCCGAAGTAAAATATTAGATGCCTTATTTTTCCAATTTTTTGCATAGGTGTTGATAGCTTAGATAAGCATACAAGGGTGAGGTAGGCGATTTGCTCACAAGAGAGATAAAAGAGGAATTGTTTAATTTATTGTTTTTGCACACAGTCTTCATACTGAATCGTCCTAGTGGCTTGTAATCCTTTACTACCTGTTTGCTACACTGTTTACTCTTTACTTATCTTAATAAATGCATTAAGACCGTTCGTAAAAGTGGATAACTGAATAATTAATGAAGAAAGAACAAATAGCACTTAGGAAGAGTCTACCAGCAGGAGAGGTGGTGAAACGTGTAAAAGATCTTGGAAATCACCATACTAACTTGAAAAAAATTTTTATTCCCACTTAAGCCGAAAGTTAAGTAAGGAAAAAGCATTCTTTTCACTTGGTTCCAAATTTTCTTACCGATGGGACTTTATTACCCTTGGGTCCATTTTAGCCATTTGTGTCTTTGATAGCTGTCCAATGTACTCCCTCCAAACGCGCTCCGTTTTTGGGTGTGTACTGTTGACACCGAGTTTTTCGAGATAAATGCCCATGTCGATGTGGGGGGGGGGGCGCAGTTTTTTTAGGTATGTACTTCTATTAGTGTGGTTTTTCTACCATAACATAGGCATAATAATAGTAACTTCTTATTACAAGTACTGTTAAAAAAATCCTAAAATAAATATCCTGTTAAGGTTAAAGTACAAAATGCAGGCTGTGTTGTTTTAAAACTATTTAATGGCAACTGTAATAGGGCAAGTTCACGTAATGGTCTTTGGTTTTGCGCAGTGGAATACCTTAGGTAAGTAAATGAAGTAATCTACCCATCCGAGAAAATTTGGTAATCACGTGACCGTACGCCCGCCTCCCGATCGTCTGTCCGCATCACATGCAAACCAATGTAAAATAACTCAATCAACAGGTATGGCAACCCAAATGCAATTCGAGGTTATTTTGGCGGGAAATCGCATAGCCACATGCGTCTTGTAAAGCAGAGACAACTAAAGAGTCAATAAAGACGAAAACGGAAAGCAGAAATTGTTTCTGTGTCCGTGTTGTCTAAAGTATTAAGCTTAGATAAATTGCCATTTGGAATATAGAGCAAGAGAAAGACAGAGAAAAAGAGAAAGTAGGAGGCAGGCCAGCGAAGCTCAACGAGAAAAAGGGCGACAGAGATCTGGAGTGAGAGATAAAAAAAGGAGACATTTTTTCGTTTGAAGAACAACATGAACATTTTGTAGCGGTGGTGACAAAACGAGAAATGCTAGCGGCCACCAATCAAATGCAAGGTAAAAAGTGAGAAAAAGGTGAACGAGAACACGTACCACATTTCCTCCATTAAAAGTGTAACGAAGAAGTTTCTGTAAGTTTCACGTTGTAGTCGTGCAAAACAACGCAAAGAAATGTACAAAAAAACGAGAACACGTACCACATTTCCTCCATTAAAAGTGTAACGAAGACGTTTCTGTAAGTTTCACGTTGTAGTCGTGCAAAACAACGCAAAGAAATGTACAAAAAAAGTGTGCTGCACGTGCAAAGTTGTTTTTTTTTAACCCTGGCTAAATCTATATATTATGTTTTGTATGCTTGGAGTACAAACTAAATTCATTCAGTAAATAAATCGTGTAGGCTGACAGACTCACTCGAAACTATATATCCTGTGTAGGACACTGCGAGTGAAAACCATACCCTGTCCAGCGGCATATCCCCGTACAGGCCACATAAGGGAGAAGGGAGTGCCCCCCCCCCCCTCCTCTCCCCCGGGCCAACGAGTCACGTTGGTAAAGTCAAGAGAGAGAGAGCGCGTCATTCTAGAAAAATCGGATTCGATGAAGATGATAACAACAGAGAAACATAAAAACTCACCATTTTCACACCCTTTTTCATCTGATCCATCCGGGCATTCTTCAATTCCATTACAGCGATGATTGTCGCGGATAAAAAAGCCCTCGCGTTCGCATCTGATTAACTTGCCTTTATTATCATGGAAGGCTGAAATAAAGCGAACAACTAAGTTATTTAATTTTGAAATAGTCTTTTTAAGCGTCTTTTTTTTATATCATGTTACTGTCACGTGCGGGTAAAATGTGACAAGTGAAATATTTGTCTTGGCTGTTCTTCATAGTAAGATTGTCAAGACAATTATGTGGAAAAAGTATAGTGCACATCCATATACCGCTGTATTGAGACAAGAGACCATTCTTGATTGAATTGTACATCGAATATGTTTGTGTTTATGAAGTATAATGAACGCTTTCATTTTAGAATACTTATACTGTACTTAGTGCCCGCCGTAATGGCTCAAGAAGAATGTTTTAGCCAAGGTCCAAAAAGTTTCATGGAAAGAATAGAAAGAAAATCATGGATGTACCAAATATCAAGTCTCTTATCAACACTTAGTTCCGAACCAATATATTTACAGATTACCTTTGCAAGCACTTGAGGTTTGTGGTGTTTGTGATGCGTAGCGTTCCGAAATCGGAAATACTGAGACGTTAAATAACCCATACGTTATATTGACAATCGTTTGATTGCAATTGATGGTACCATTGATGCAAGCACATTCCACACAAGAACCTTTCGTCCATGTATCCATATTCTTTCGAAGTATTCCACTAATATCTTGACACATTGGCTCAAGCAATCTATCGCAAATTACGAAATTGCCTTTTGTGCAGTTACATTTCGACTGGGGATTATCGAGCCACGTGTCGCCGGGTTTTCTCGTGTTCCCACTGCTGTCCCTGCAGGCTATCACAATGGGTGGGTGAATTATAGAGCATGCTACAAATTGGGAGGGAGTGCAACTGCATGTTTCCAGTGGGTTTGGTTTCCACGTATCGCCAATCTTGTACAGTGATCCGTTAAAACTCCTACAGTATCCTGGTGGAGCTGTCGTAAAAAAATTGAAATGAACTACTTGCTTTATCCTTCAACAGTATATGTACTCCAGTTCCGGTTTAAGGAAGACTAATAACTCCTGTTAGCTGTTTGTTAAGGTTTTATTATGTCGGCCACCCTGTCTTACCACCAGTTCTGGGATTAGTATGAAGCTATGATTGATTCTTATTTATTTAGGTCCACTTTAATCTATTCTGATATACACTAGAAATCCTACATGGGGGCCATTTAGAATCATGATTCACTCGACATATGACGTTTTTTGTAAGTTTTCTATGAGTTTACCGGCACAAACAACCATAGGTTTTTAACCAACCAGAGCGCGCGTGTTATCTTAGTTATTTAAAAAAAAAAAAGCGGTAGACCATAATTTCCATGGGTTTACTGGCGTGATAACCACTTGGGATCGGAGAACGTTCGAAAAGCTTGTAAGTCACTCGCCTTCGGCTCATAATTTAGAAGCTTTTCTCGTGTTCTCCCAACTGCAACGGGTTAAATATTATCACGCCGGTAAACCCATAGAAAGTGTGGTCTATTGCTTACTTATACCAAGGATTTCCTTATATAAAATTCGTTGAATGTATATGAAAGTTCCATTGTAAACCATAAAGGACAAGACTTAACGGCGCTATGGAAATGTTAGTACAATAACTTTAGCCGCATAATGTGTAGTCTTTTGCCAGTAATTTTAGTTACAAAAAAAAAAAAAAAAAAAAAAAAACAAAGCATTTCTTATTCATTCTTTTCGCACTTGCTTTTTCGCACGATACAGCGGTTAATGATGAAAAGGTTTGTTTCTAAGGCAACTGTTTGGTGTAACGTGCTTGTCACTGAAGTGAAGTAGACTAAAACTATACATAAAACTAATCACTTACCAATCGTAAATGCCGGGACAGTAGAGTTTTGCGCTGAAAGAAAAAAGTCCCCTTATTAACAGACGGTCTCCTACGTACCTTCTTCAAAGTCTTTAAAATAAGAAGTGTAAAGTGTGTCTTATGGCCAAAACCTTGGACAATTGTTTATTGCTCATTTATTTAATAAGGTAAACGATAATGCCGTCAATACAGGGATGACCACATTAAATGATATTCACACAATTCCATCCAACAGCCTGAATATTCAGCCTATAGGGTAGTAAAGCAAAAAGTAGAACGAATATATTCTTTCCTTTAAGCTTATTTCGTGAAATACCTTTGGCGAGGACGCAAAAACCCAAGAACGTGATGATGAACCCAAGAAGGTATTTCGCTTGTTGTCTCATAATTTAGTAACCTAAATTCAAAAAAAAGACAGCACAAGATTATTTAAGTACCACCAAAGGAAGCGACGAATATTTTTACAGGTGCAGGGCATAAATTGCAAACACTTCAACCATCATTTTTGTTGGGAGTATATGGCTTTGCGAAAAAGAAGATTGAAATATTAGCGTCGGAATTTTTGGGTCTTACTCACTTGTAGTTATCTGTTTTAGATAGGGATTTTGGTCCAGTACAGGTGTTCGTTAAAAGAAATTTCATAATACTATTGTATTCAATTGTGAAAATTATTGCTCACTACTACTAGAGAGAATAAGATCTGTTATGTCATGGGCGGCATGAACAACATACCATTACAGGATATTTGTCGCGCTTGTGTTTTCCAACCTGCTTTACCCCATGATCCCAAAGCCCACCCACATAACATCAAACACCACTTCTCTTATTGATAATATTTTCACTAATAACGTTACTTGTCTATCTGTCAATGGACCGATCCTAAATGATTTATCTGACCACTTGCAATTTCTTTTTTTTTCAATTAGCCGTGGAAACTTTGATTATGACACCACAGGCAGCCCAGGCGCACTATTCGTGGGTTCGGGCTTCAGAGGTCATTTGGTGGGAATATACTAGAATTATAGTGTTCAGTACTCGATGGAAAGAAAGTCGACTAAACGGCGTTTAAACCAGCCGTAGGACACAGAGTGGCTATGAACGAAAGGTAAGGGAGCTTTTTGAATCAATATTTCGCGTGATCATGATTTTTTTTTCCCTTAGCGTTGTAGATTCGAATACATGTGATAAAATTCGATCAATAAGGGCCCGAATCACATGTAATAATGCAAGCAATATCGATTTTCGTTATCTTAAAGGCTACTAGTACCGATAGACAAACAAGAAGACTTCATATCTTTAAGACTTTTTGCATTTATTTGGCATCAGATAATACACTAATAATTCTAGTATATTCCCACCAAATGACCTCTGAAGCCCGAACCCACGAATAGTGCGCCTGGGCTGCCTGTGCTCTGATTGGTCAAAATTTGACAGGTGTGTTCACGCGGGAACTTTTTGCAGCACCTTGAAACTTGTTTTCTTTGACAGCTGAAGCTGACAGAGTTTTGTGTCAACTTGTAATGTTTGTAACTGTCTTTTTCCACTGGATGTACAAAATGAAATTCAGCTGCTATCAGGAGTCTTCTGTTATTCATGGCTAGTCTGTCGGTTGTTGGTTGAGAAATGCGTCGCTTGTCGAAGTCGGAAATTCGATTTCGAATGGCATCGTTTTCGTTTTTCACCTTGCTTAATGGGTAAGAGGGTTTAAATGTCTGAAGCGATTCTGGCCTTACTTGATAGCTTTCCGGAGCTGCATCTCTAACGGTTAGCCAGAGTAATGAAAGTATTTGATGTTTGTTTTTTTTATATCTAATTTCATGAAGTCGAGCGTAGTTTATGCGGCAAGTTTATGCACGTTTGTAGGATTTGAGACAATGATCTGACCCAGTATCAGGTTTGATATAAGCTTACAGAACTTTAAAAAGCCTTTAGATATATTTTCTCCCCGCAAATAGAGAGAAAACGTTCCGAAGAATATTTAGTTATAAATTTGGCTGTAGAAAGAAAACTTTGAGCGATTTTCTTGCCTCGAGTTCATCTTTCAAAAAAGCAAACACCGGGAAGTCGGCTTAAAACATAAACTTAAGCTTTAATCTTAAAGACACAGAATTTTTAGACACTCTTTAATACTTGTCTTCGTGAATGAAAATTGTTGTCTCTGTGAATGTTTCACTCGAGCACAGCTCGCACTGCAAATTTGGCGCTTATCAAAAGTGAGAACCGGATGCCCGAAAAGGTGATTTGGAAAGTTTGTGAGGGGTTTCGCTAAAAGCCGACAACAATTGATCGTCCTGAATATTGACTGAGTGCAAGTTGTCGTGAAAAATTGTGAAATACTTCATTCTGTCCGAGGTCTGTATGATAAACAGGCCTCAGATGTGTTGTATAAAAAGTATAAAAGGTTGATTTACACACCCCCAGATTTGTTGGCAAGATTTTGTAAAGTAAACTTATCGAAAGCAAAAAATTCGACCTGATTTGTTTTCCAAGAATTTTTTTTCCAGGCCCAATTTACTGTGATCAAGAGTCATTATGGCTCTTGAATGTGATCGAAGATGATTGCTATTTTTTAGGTGTACATATAAGGCTATCAACTCAATGTTAGATGTTTCATGACTGTAAAATCACTTAGCCTTTCCCTCAAAAGTCACATGAATGTGCCCTTAAGGTAACTGATTTGTGGAATACAAGTTTATTGTTTGTTTTAAATTATAGATTTATTAATTGGAGGTTCGCTTTTAGCCCTGGCTAAATCTATGTATTATTACTTCTGCCATAGACAACAGAGAGTCGACTGCTGGAGTTTTCCTGGACCTTTCGAAACTGAGCTATTGACACTATTGATCATCATATTTTACTCAATAAGCTCGACCACTAACGGTATTAAAGGGTACTCTCTTAATTGAGTCTCTAGCTATTTGACAAACAGGAAGCAGTTTGTTCAGTTTACTTCTCGCTTCCTTGGTCGTATTCCCTATTAATTAGCTAGGTAAGGGTTATTTACATGGAACGAGAGGGTAGGTGATATATGAGCGGTATCAGGTGAATATATCACAGACCCCGAGAGACAATTAAGTAAATATCATGCTTACCGTATTTCATCGAATAATGGCCATTCCTCAATTAATCTTCTCCCCCGAATAATCGCCCTGCCCCCCCCCCCCCCCCCCCCCCCACACACACACACACACACACACACACCCCTATAGGTTACCCTCTAGGAATACCCATGCCGGTAAACTTAGAGGATTGGAGCTAAAGTGGAGTCTGATCAAAACCGATCAGTGACGATTCAAGCTCTGACGCCGAGGACATTGACGTTGAAAATAAATCAAGGAACCAATAGCCCCCCGGTTATTATTCGAGGAAATACGGAATTTTTCAAAAGTGAGGTTTCCTAATGCAAAATATAGAGGATATTACACGGTGGCGCGAAGATATGAATTTTATTTTCGAGTGGCAAAACAATATTTTACGAACGAGCGCAGCGAGTGAGAAAAATAATGTTTTTGCCACGAGAAAATAAAATTCATATCTTCAAGCCGCCGTGTAATATTCTTTTTATTATATAGACAAAATTACATCGATAAAATAATAGAGGGAAATATACCAAAATTACGTCATCGATAAAATCAAGTGTGAGATTATGGAAAATAAACCAATCGGGTCCCGGATGTAGTTTTTATGAATTTTACGAGTGGTATATTTTCCAGTAAAACACTCGTGTCTATATAATAAACTTTTTTAACAGACTTTAAATTTAGGGTGGCTTTATTTGCAAAATACGCGTATAGCTGTGGCATAAAAATTCCAGCAGTCACATGTGACAGTTATCATGACGCGTATGTTAAAAATGAATCAACCCTTATTCTCTACAGACGTCTATTCCCAAGGGCCTCGAATTACTTGAGGATGAATATGGAAGTTACTCAGTTTATCTGGAATAGTCAAACAGTAGGTTTATCAGAAAGAGATGAGTGACTCGGAGAAAGAGGTATTCTTAACGTTGGAGGCTGTTTTTGATCATCCACCCCGACAGATTTTTGTCAGTTGTTCAAAAACGCACATTAAAAACCATCAGGATGTTCGCAGTTAGACGCTGGAGATGTTGAGTCAAATTTGTTTAAAA